CACTATAAATAGTCCTAGTTTTACCCCAATAAAGTTGGAGCTGGAGCTGAATCACTGAGATCTGAGCTGAGTCACTTGTCTTGAGCTGTAACACTAAATCCTGTGATCCAGTCTCCCCGGGGGGGGTGCTATTCCTCCATCGCCGACTTGTGGACACCCTGGCTTTTGCCGTCCCTCATACGCTTCCCATGTGGTCCAAGTGGCCAGTGGACCTCACATCCTGAGGAAGGTATACGGGTGAAATAGGGACGGGATTGACTGAGTAGACCTCAGTAGCGGAGGAACTTTCACTGCCCAGGAGTGCGCACAGGGACCCTGAGAGCCCAGCGCGTGCTCGCCTATACAGGACAACTTGATAGACCATGTACTTCCCTTAAATGCATCCCTATCTCCTTGAACTTTACCCTGAAGGGAAGGGAACTCAAACAACAACAAAAATGGATTGATGGGCGAACTTGGGGGCTGAGGCTATACACCTCGGGAACTGACCTGGGGGTACTGTTTTCGGTCCATCTTTAGGTGGGTCCAGTCTTAGGAACTCAGATGGGGCCAGCTCTGACAATGTTACAGCCCATTGGATGACCAACACCGGCCTTAATTTTTAAATCTGCTGGACGGCCAGCCCCTAGCCAAATTGTCCAACCTGACAAAACTGCCACTCCGCCCACCTATAGATCTACCCCCTGGGAGTCCACAAGGCCTAAAAGCCCCTACAGCCATCCCCTGGACTTATGAACCTCCTAAATGCCAACTTTATTGCTTTAAATAATACCTCCCCTAACCTCACTATCCACTGCTGATTTTGCATGGACCCGAGCCCTCCCTTTTATGATGGGCTAGCCCTCCCAGGAAATTATACTGTCACTTCTGACCCCGCTGCCTGTAGAATCCCCCCGCCTATGGGAAGAAGGGGGCTTACCCTTACCCAAGTGTGTGGAAAAGGGCTATGCGTGACTCCCTCACATAAAATTGTCCCCCCTTCTTACCAACATCTATGTAACTCTGTTCAAGAGATAGGGGCTACTACACCTAACCCATATATGGTGCCCCCCAACTCCACTTGGTGGGCCTGTACCTCTGGCCTAACTACATGCCTCCACTCCTTCATTTTAAACCAGACCGGGGATTTTTGTGTACTAGTGCAGCTGGTTCCCCACCCCAAGACTATCCTCTTTAGCTAAGGTAACCTTGCAAAATAGGAGAGGGCTGGATTTACTTTTTCTAGAGAAAGGAGGACTCTGTGTTGCCCTAGGGGAACTGTGCTCTTTCTATGTCAATCACTCAGGAGTTAGAAAACAGTCTTTGGCTGAGGTCCATAAAAGACTTAAGGAAAGGGAAAATGAACGACTAAATCAACGAAATTGGTACGAATCCCTATTTGGTCCCCATGGTTAACAACTTTGATCTCAGCAATAGTTGGACCTCTCCTCTTACTCCTATTAGCACTCACCTGTGGCCCCTGTATTCTTAATACCTTGCTCAAATTCATCCATCCAAGAATGGATACAGACAGTCCAACTGATGGGACTGCGTTCATAGTATACTCATTTAAATCGAGACCCCGAGCCTTACGACAATATAGAAATGGTTCCACCGCCCTAAATGCACCATCTAACTGCTTCTTTCCGCTTCTGTAATTTGCTTGGCTTAAAGATTTAACCCTTGCCATAACTCTAGGGGGGGAATGAAGAGCCAGAATGCTCTGACTCCATTTTGGCTAGCTTTTTCAAGCCCAGACAAGCTCAGGCATATCGTAAATTTTCCCAGTTGCTACCCCCTGCCCTGGGAAGCTATAAATTAAGCAAGCCCTGGACATGTAAAAGCCTTATAAGGTATAAACAAAAACTTCTGGCCCTAAAAGATATCAGTCAGCACATTCCAATGCCCTGAAGACAGCCCCTACCAATATGGGGACATCCAATTATTTTAAAAGATGCTTGGCATTCCTGGGTTTCTGTGGAGTTCCCCAATAAAAGCCCCTGCCTGCTATTGTTTGGAGCCAGACTCCATCTTTGGCTCATGTAGTCTGTGCCCGGCTAGCCGCCATTTGGTTGTTTTTACTTTAAATTCCTGAATAAACTTTTTGTATAATCTTTTTGGTTTCCGTGGGAATTATTCTCAATTCTCAAACCCTTACAACCTTCACCTCACGGAGGACAGGAAGCAGAGAAAGGAAATATAGAAAGGGTTATAGTCTTCAGAGGACTTTCTCTTATTGCCCCCCAAATTTCCAACACCTCCCAAAGTAGGGCTACCAGATGGAATCAAGCACTGTAGCCTGTAGGGCAATATTTCATATTCCAACCAAAACAGAAACAAATGAACTTCTAGGCATCTAGAAGAGGGCATCAGATCCTCTGGAACTGGAGTTGCACGTGGTTATGAGCCGCCATGCAGGTGCTGGGAATGGAATCTGTGTCCTCCATAAAAGCAGCCAGTGCAAACCACTGAGCCATATCTCCACCCTTTCCCCACCTCATTGATGAGCTGGGCAGGACAAACCTGTGGCCTCTATGAATGTTAAGGAACTGCTCTAATCATTAAGCCATACCCCCAACAATTTTTTAAAAATTTAAGTTACATTTAAAAAAAAAAATTGTTTTGTGCATGTCTCACTCTGTAGGTCAGGCTGGCCTCCAGTTCACAATCCACTTGTCTCAGTCTTTTGAGTGCTGGGATTATAGGCTTGTGCCACCACGTCCAGCTCTTCTAAGATAACATGTAGCACTCCTACCGGGAGAGGTAGTAGAGTAGCTCTGAGTAGCAGAAAGAATCCTTGCCTAGGAAAATGGATCTTGGCTCTTGAAAAGACTGAAGAACTCTTTCTTCAAATGATCCTAATAGGGGACCTTAAAGGCAAAACACATGAGAGAGTAGGGGCTCCAGCTTTTGCATCAGGACAGAAGCCCTGTCCCTGCCCTCCCCTTGCCTGAGCATTAATTTCTCAAAAAAGTAGCCTGCCTATCTTCGAAAGTCCCTTTGTCAAGGCTGCTTGTCTATGGTTTTAAGAGGCCACACACTAGGTACAGAGACGTCATAGTTTACTTCTTGCTCCCCCCTCCCCTTGGAGTATTTCCTGAGGGCTCACCCTGACAGCTCACAGAACTGTTTACAGAGGTCCTCTTGCTTCAAATTGCCCTATAAGCCGCTGCGTTTCTGAAGCCCCATAGACCTGGAGTCCCTGAGCAGAGCTAAGCCAGTAGGGCTGCAGGACTGCCTAGTGGGGCATGGAGCTAAGGCCTTAGTCTCAGAATTGGATTATTAGAGTGAATTTGGAGCTCCCAGCCCTGCTGACCTCAGGGACATGGGATTACCCAAGCTTCTGGCTGGGGCCCATAGTCCTTCCCACATTTCCTAACCAGGGCTGAGAACCAGTGTCCTCCCTCTGCTGTAGCACAAGGGGCAAGGGATGCTCTACCTACCGTTCTTTTCCTGGCTTCAGCCCCATACCCTGCCTCAGATGCCTGGAAGCATACCTGCCTCCAATGTGTCTGAAACTTACCATAGAGTTCTGTAGTTCACAGACAGGCAACATCAGAATTTTCTGAGACCTTGTTAAGGATGGAAAATCATAGTGTCAGAATTGCTATGGCAGATCCAGATGTATGGCTTAGCAAATGCTTCAGGTGGGCTGGAGAGATGGCTCAGTGGGTAAAAGTACTTACTGCCAATCCTGAAAACCTGGGTTCAATCAGGAACCACATGGTAGGAGAAAACAAAGCTGTCCTCTGACTTCCTTGCAAGTGCCCACACACATATGCAAACACTCATCCAAAATAAATGAACATAATTTTAAAAATCCTTCAGGTGATTCTTATGTGTACTAAAGGAGTGAAACAGGACTTGGAGAACACTGGCTATCCCCACACATCTGTCCAAGTATGTTCCAAGTCTGCCCAAGATTCTGGACAACTCCTACCCACGAACGTCTCCTTCAGGATCCTTCAACTCTTCACTTGTGGAAATGAATCATGATGATTGCAGTGGACCTATTCTACATTGCCAAGTTGCACAATTCCATGGCAGTCTACAAATGACAGCCCCTAAAGGTACATAAGGTAATGCCCCTATAATGTTTACTGAGCACTAACTCTGTCTTTTTATATTACATCATTACGATATCACATTACACATGAAGAAATTGAGGTTCAGAGGGGGCATACAACTGACCTAAAGCTACACAGTAAACAAAGTCAAAGTCTAACTGCTACACATCTGCTTTCCACCTTAGTGGAGATGGCATTTGTTTTATCTGGTTTATAACACATGCTGGGATTTCCTCCAGAGCAAAGCCCTTGACATCACTTCCTAAGGAAAGCATTTCCACCTCCCCAGGGCAGGGCAGGCCTCCTCATTATCCCCTGCTGAGAGTCTCTGTATCCTTCCTTCACAGGAGTATTGCCATCTATAATCACAGGCGAATGTGTTTCTACCATTCTGTCTCACTGACCCGGTTGAAAGCCTCAGGAAGTTAGGAGGTGGTGCTACCCCCACCAGATGCTTCCTTAGTAGTCACTTTTCCTTATAGAACCTTGTCTTGCCTGCTGTCTGTGTTAAAAGGAAACTAGGGGGCTGGAGATTTGGCTCAGTTGGTAAAATGCTTGCCTTGCATGCACAAAGCCCTGGGTTTGATCCTCAGAACCACATAAACCAGGTGTGGCAATACACACCTGTAACCCCAGCACTCTGGAGGTGAAGGCTGGAAGACCAGAAGTTTAAGATAATTTTCAGTTAGTTTAGAGATCCTTTCTCAAAACTAAGTCAAAGCAAACCAAACCAAATTCTGGTCTTATTTGGACAGCTGTATAACCTCTCCCCTCTTAATAGAAGGCACACTTTTTGGCAGATGTGAAATAAGAAGAATGGGAATTACTGGGCCCTTGTTACTCAGTAAATGCATCCTGTATGCAAGAAATTCCAACCAGTCCTGGGCCTGCAGATGGTGCTGTGGAAAAGTGTACATTGACCAACCAAGACCAAAGCAAAGACCACCCCGGCTGTCATTCTCTTGGAAATATTTTTATTGATTCTGAGATCAAAGGACTAGGCGAGCTGGGACAGGCATAGAGCTAGGGAGGGCGTGAGAGGCTTTGCCCCGGGGCAGACATGCTGTGTGGGGTCTGCTGGCGGGCTCCCTGGCCCACCCAGCCAGCAGCGGCTGGGCACATGGCACTTGGCGCCTGGCATGACCTCTGCCGGCTTGGCACTATGGCCTCCTCGCCGGCGGGCGCCCCCTTTCCAGTTGCAGGAGTTGTCTTTCACAGTGCGGAGGGGTGGGGATCCGGGGTGGGCACCAACCCGGGGTGCAGGCAGGCCCCATCCGCCAGTACATCCTGGTCTCTCGGCAGCTACTGCGGTGGATGAGGCGCGCTGGGCTCTTCTCCTCGCCTGTGAGAGTTGGCAGTCCTGGAGGGGCCCTTGGGCGGGCTCAGCGGGACATCATCCGGACAAACTCTGGGAGGGTACAGGGGCAGGGAGAAGACAGCACAGTCAGGGTTCAGCCTAGGACTGCTCCCAAGCTGCTTCCCGTCGCCACTGCTTACACTCTGGGCTAATCCCCCACCTCCACTCTGCCCCTCCAATCCATCTTCCGGGCTCTGCGAGCCTCTTATCTGTGGTCTGGCCCCTGCTGACACCCCCATGGCTCCCCACTGGTGGTGGCCAGGGTCCTAACTTGGCTTCGCAGTTCTGCTGATCTGACCTCGCTCATGCTCACCAGCAGTCTCCTAGCTATATGCTCTAACTATATCCTACAGACATCTTTTTCATTAAGTATGGATGATTTGTGTCTGTCTGTCTGTCCCTTTACTGCTCAGCTTTCCTCCAATCAGCCCACCCGCATTTTATTTTTTTACCTTTTATTTTTTTAATATTAAGCATTTATTGTGGACTTTGCTATCTCAAACTTTTCAGTAAACCACTCAAAGAAAAATCAGGATTACAATTTGTTTTGGTTCCCTCTTTTTAAAATTACATTTATTATTCAGGGGTGGTGGCACACACCTTTAATCCTAGCACTTAGGAGGCAGAGTCAGGCAGATCTCTGTGAGAACCAGGCCAGCCCCGTATAACATAGGGAGTTCCAGGCCAGCTGGGGCTATAGCTCAAACAAAGAACCCCCAAAGAACATTACATTTACTTATGGGGGCAGGGGCTGGGCACAAGTCTGCCATACGGTGCTTGTGGAGTTCAGAGGACAACCTCCACCATGAGGCTCCCAGGGATCAAACTCAGGTCATCCTTGGTGGCCGGTGTCTTTACCAGCTGAGCCATCTCACTAGCTCAGAATTTTTGTTCTTTTTAATGTCATTTGTCCTCAGACATGGTGCAAACTTGGTGTTCTGCTGGAGCGATTTTCAGAGTTCAAAGACAAATACTTATGTAATAACATATGTAATACATATATGTAAATAATTATATCAATGCATATATGTAACTGTGTATTATACATGTAATTGCACTGTGCTATGACCCAGCTATGCCACTTATGGGCATATTCCCAAAGAACTCTCCATCCTACCAGTACCAGAGTGGTTGTTGAACTGACAAACCCACAGAGATACACTGTTGTCACCCAAAGCCCACAGCTTACATCAGGCCAGGCTCACATTTCCTGTTGTACATTCTATGGGTTGGCCAAACATTCAGGGACAAGTCACCTATTATGACGTGAGACAAAGCAGTTTTACTGCCTGAATCCACTGTGCTCTAATTATCTGTCCCTTGCCCACAGACCCTGGTAATCTCTGATCTTTTCACCATCTCCACCATTTTGCCTCTTCTAGAATAATATCATATGGTTGGGATCACACAGTGTATAGCCTTTTTTTTTTTTTTTTGAGTAGCATCTTTCACTTAATGATACATTAAAAAATGTTTTTGGTATATGTATTTTTATTTTATATGTATGAGCATATTGCTTGTATGTATGTAAGTGCACCTGTGTCATGCAATGCTCACTAAGGACAGGAGAGGGTGTTGGATCCCCTGAAAATGGAGTTATGGATGCTGTTAGCAGCCATGTGGGTGCTGGGATTCAAACCCTGGTCTTTTGCACAGCCAGTAAACGGCCAGTGCTCTTAACCTCTGAGCCCTCTCTCCAGCCCTAGATATATGCTTTTAAGAGCCTTTATATCATCTCATGGTAGTGCTGAATAATGTGCCATTGTCTGAATATACCACAATTTGTTTATCTGTTCATCAAAGGGCATCTTGGTCACTTCCAAGTTTTGGCAACTGTGAATAAAGCAGCCAGAAACATCTGTGCTCAGGCTTCTACACTGGCATAAACTTTCAACTCATTGGGATAAATATCCTTATATTTATTTTTTTTCCAAAGATTTACTTTATTTTTAATTATGTGTATGTGTGTGTATCTGTGTGTGGGTATGTGCACTTGACTGCAGGTACCCTTGGAGGCCAGAAGAGGGCATCAGATTCCCTGAAGCTGGAGTCTTAGGCAATTGTGAGCAGCCCAGCATGGGTGCTAAGAACTGAACTCAGGTTCTCTGCAAAATCAGTATGCTCTCTTAACTGCTGAGCCATCTCTCCAGCCCCTCTCCTTAATTTTTTCACCTGTTAACTCTTTACAATTTTTTTTTATTTATTACTTTTATGTGTATCAGTGTTTTGCCTGCATGTGTGTAAGTACACCTATGTCATACAAAGCCTGCAGAGGCCAGAAGATGGTGTTGGATCTCTTGGAACTGGTATTACAGACAGTTGTTAGCTGCCATGTGGGTGCTGGGAATTGAACCTGGGTCCTCTAGAAGAACAGCAAGTGTTCTTAACCCCTGAGCCATCTCTCCAGCCCCTGCTTGTTGACTCCTACCTACATTTCAAGCTCCACTCACAACCTCCTTTGCTTCCTTCCTCCCTAATCCTTCCCCCAGCTTAGCGCAGGGCCCCCTCCCCACACTAATCCACAGCCTGGTCTACTTCCCCCAAGCACAGCCTGGACTATGCCACATTTCTGTGTTTTGCTTGCTGGTCTTAGCTCCTTAAGGCAAAGAGCAGGGCTCGGTATAACACCTCAGTAGAATGAATATGTAATTCTGGGCTTTCAGGGAAGGGCCATCATGGGCCATCATCAGCTGCTGGCACTACCTGGACACAGGTTAACTGAAGTTTTTAGATCTGATCCTAGCAGAGCCTTGTCTCCATCTACTCATGCTCTCTCCTCCCTTGAAGGCCATCTGCTCCCTGGGAAAGCCCTCCTGACCCTCTGGACACACACTAGCACATGTTTGTCTTTCTACTTAGAAAGCAAGTTCCTAGAGAATGTGGTGAATATTTCATTTTTTTCTTCCATGTCCTATGATGCCCAGAATGGCACCACTACAGGATTAGGTAGCAGCTGAGATTTCTAGCCTGGGTTTGTGTCCCAACTCTGCTTTCCTAATGGTTGGTTTGTGTCCCAACTCTGCTTTCCTAATGGTTAGCCAAATTTGACCAAGCTATATTACTCCTCTGAGCCTCAGTTTTCTCATCTTTTTTTTTTTTTTTTTTTTTTTAGACAGGGTCTCACTATGTAGCCTTGGCTGGCCTGGACCAGGCTACCCTGGAACTCTGAAATCTGAGTGCTGGGATTAAAGGCATGTGCCACCACACCCAGCATAAATGTCATTTTTTAACAAGAGAATGCACTAAAAGGCATCCTGGCTAAAAGAACAGCATGTTCAAAAGAGGCCTCACAGGTTCATGAGTCTGGAACATAAAGGCATGTGAGGGAAGGAATGGCAGGTGCTGTGGCTAGGAACTGAGCTGTAGTCAGATGTCAGAAACCTGAGGTCAGGTTGAGGAATGTGGTATTCAGAAAATACCATGAGTGGTGAATAGACAGATGGACAGAGACAGATGAGGGTAGACAGACACAGGGATGGATGAACGCATGAGTAGATGGATATAGAGTCGATGGGAAAGTGACTAGACAGAGAGATCAATGGAAACATGGATAGAGGTGCATAGATGGAGGAAGACATGAGACTACATGAATGGAGAGGTACAGGAGACAGATGTAGGTGCAACATAGATGTTTAGATGCATGTATGGGTGAGTGCATAGAGAATGAATAGATTGATGAATGGGCAATAAATGCATGATAAATGGTTGTATGGATGGCTGTTCAGAGATGATGAATAACTAGTCATCTGGGTGGATGAGGAGATGAATGGGTGAAATGTGTGGAAAGATGGACAAGTACATGAATGCGTGGGATGGGTGTAGGGCTGGGAGGTGGATTAGAGTGGTACCCAGACAGGATGGAAAGAAGAGCATGGCAACAGAAACTTGAATTGCATTGGTGATTGCATGGTGGGTATACAGTTAGAGGGCTCCACGGCTAGCTTGTTTCCCTTCCATTTTGAAGCCCCGCCTACCTTCAAAGTCCACTCGTCCATCCCCATTGAGATCCACATCTCGGATAATTTCCTCTATGTCTCGGTGTCCCACCTGATGACCCAGAAGCTTCCTCATGGCCTCTCGCAGCTCACTGGTGCTTATCTCCCCATCACCATTGGTGTCAAACTAAAGAGGATGTGAAGGAGGGAGAGGGAGCTATGATGTGGAGCCTGGCAGCAGCAGCAGATCACCCAAATGGGGCTCCTGCTCCAGTGTCTCCTTTTCTCAGAGTCCCTTCTTTGTCCAAGTTACCTCCCATGGTCTGGAACCCAGAGCTCAGCATTCTTAGAATCTTTTCTTTTTTCTCTTGAGACAGGGTCTCCCTGTAACCTTAGCTGGCTTGGAACTCACTATGTAGACCAGGCTGGCCTTGAACTCACAGAGATCCTCCTGCCTCTGCCTCCCAAGTGCTGGGATTAAAGCCACCATGCCCAGCAGAGTTCTTAGGATTCTTTACAGTCATCCTGAGATTGGAATTCAGCCTGCCCACCACTGGCCTGTCACCACCTTTCACTCACCTCTCGAAAGGCATCTCGAAGTTCCTTTACACCAATCATATCTGCTGTCTCCGCCAGGAGTTTAGGTCCCATTAGCTCCACAAAGTCATCAAAATCCACATGGCCACCCACTGGAGCAAAAGGAAGGGGCTAAGTCATCCTCAACCTGCCCATTCTGCATCTTCCTCTAGTCAACCTCCCCATCTCCAAGTCCAGGGTGTGAGGATAGGCCAGAGGACAGACCTCAGACAGGTGGCTTATCAGAGAATGTCTGCAGGAAGGCAAGGGATTGGGAAAGGGAACTGGTCAGAAAGTGGAAAAAAGGACATATGGATAGGAGAAAGAAATGTTTGGTCATGGAGCCAGGCAAAGAACTTCAGAGCTGGAGAGGTTAAGACACTCTTAGAGGAAGGCCAAGAGAGGACAGAAGTTATGGGTGCCTATATTTTCTGGGAGTACAGTTACATACTGCCACATATGTCCCAAGCCTTATCTTTGCTGTGTAAATACAAACTCAACTTCCAAGTGACTCTCAATTAGGAGGAAAGAATGGAGATAGGGTACCTGCCTACTAACTTTCAACTAGGGACTGCCTGGGTCAGGGGAGAAATACCAGGCTGGAGGGATGAGGGCTGGGAGAATGCCAAGGTAGGCAATCATTTCTGTGTGTGTGGATATGTATGTGTGTGTGTGTGTGTGTGCATGTGTGTGTGCAGTTACATGGATATGTGTGCATCTGTGAAGGCCAGAGATCAATGTCAGATGACTCTCTCAATCGCCCTCCACATTATTACATTTATTACTATTATTACTATTATTATTATCACTTGGCTTTTTGAAACATGGTATGTAGCCCTGGTTGGCCTAGAACTTGCTATGTAGACTAGACTGACCTCAAACTCACAGAGATTTGTCTGCTTCTGCCTCTCAAGTGTTGAGATTCAAGGTATATACCACCATGCCCAACCTATCCACCTTATTTTTTGAAATAGGATCTCTTATGTATGCCTATATTTTATATTTTCTGGGATTACAGTTACATACTGCCACATATGGCTTTCTCCCCAGACCCTATCATCATCATCATCATCATCATCATCATCATGCTGGATAGCTTTAGTGTCAACTTGACACACCTGGGTTGAGGGAGCCTCAATCGGGGAATTACCTCCATTGGACTGGCCTGTGGCCATGTCTGTGGGACATTTTCTTGATTGTTGAGTGATGTGAGAGGGCTCAGCCCACTGTGGGTGGTGCCACCCCTGGGCAGGTGGGCCTGTGTTGGATAAGAGAGCAAGCTGAGCAAGGGCCAGGGGAGCAAGCCAGTCAGAGCATTCCTCCGTGGCCTGTGCTCCATGGCCTGTGCTCCTGAACCTCCTGCCTCCAGGTTCCTGCCCTGAGTTCCGACCTTGGGCTCCCTGATGAACTGTGACCTGGGAGATGTAAGTTAAATAAACCCTTTCCTCCCCAAGTTGCTATTGGTCAGAGTATTTTGTCACAGCAATGGAGAAACAAACTAGGACAGAAATTGGTACCAGGAGTGGGATATTGCTGTGACAGACCTGAACTCGTTGTTTTGGGGAGGACTGTGGAAGTCTTTGGAATTTTGGGCTAGAAAAGCTATTGCATGCTCAGAGTTTGTTGCTGTGGATCTTGGAACAGTTATGCTGAAAGAGTTGTAGATGATGGAGGCCTGGCTTGTGACACTTCAAAGGGAAGCAGAGACTATCAGGGCTGTTTGTGTGATATTTTGAATTGAGAATCTGTGGGTTCTGGTCAGCTGGGGCTGAAGAATCAGCTGTGATTAAGAAGAGACCAGAGGGGCTGGACAGATGGCTCAGCAGTCAAGAACACTGGTTGTTCTTGCAGAAGACCTGGGTTTGAATCTCAGCACCCACATGGCAGCTAACGACTGTCTGTAACTCCAGTTCCAGGGAATCCAATGGCCTCTTCTGTCCTCGAGGGCATTGCATGACACGGGTGCACTTACCTATATGTCGGCAATACACTCAAACACATAAAATAAAAATAATACATAAAATATTTTAAAAAAAAGAAGAGACCAGAATCTGAAGTAAAACCTTTGTTTTACTGGGACAATTGATGTTGTTTAGCTGGGGCTGAAAAATCAGCTGTAAGTAACAAGAGACCAGTATCACTGTGGTGGTATCTTCTGGGAGGTATTTCCTCAGGATCAGCACACAGAGGGGACCTGAACCTCCATCTCAAGCTAGAAGCAGGACTTGGTAATGTGTAAGAGTCTCCTGCATGGTTCTGGTGTTGAAAGCATGAAAGGGTCACAGAGAGCAGCCAAGGCTTGGCACTCTGAGAGGCCAGGAAAGGCCATAGGTGAAAGTGCAGCTTCAGTTGCAGCAAAGACCCCAGGATTGAAGGGGTCATGGAGAGAATCTGAGGCTTTGTACCCCAAGAGGCAAGAAGAGGCCATTGATAAATGTGTAGCCTCAGTTTCAGTGGTGACCCCAGCTTTTTGGAGATCCCGGGACCATGGGATGACCACCAAGGACCACAGTAGGTGTGGAATGGAGCTGGCCTGGGTCTGCGAGATGAGCTATGTGTGCTGTGGATGGCAGAGTCAGAGAAGTGGAGCTGCCAGAACCCTATGGAGCCCAGAAGATCGTAATTCCCAGATGTCCAGCCTAGAGCTACTTTGCTGGACTTTAGTTTTGCTTAGATGTCCCTGATTCTTCCCTTTGAAATAAGACAGTACTTGTTTTGGATTTTACAGAAGCCCACCCACAGTTGAGAGTTTTAAAAGAGACTATGGACTTTTAAGTGTTTGGATTTTTTAAGGACTGTGGGGTTTTTAAGGTTGTCTGTCTTATGTTGTGATATGAATGTTAATATTGTGTTTTAGGCACAAGAATTTGAGAGGTTATGGTTTAATAGTGATGTGTTTGTGTGTCAAGTTGACAAGGGGTCAATTGTGCTGGATAGCTTTAGTGTCAACTTGACACACCTGTGTTGAGGGAGCCTCAACTGGGGAATTTCCTCCATTGGACTGGCCTGTGGCCATGTCTGTGGGGCATTTTCTTGATTATTGAGTGATGTGGGAGGGCCTAGCCCACTGTGGGTAGTGCCACCCCGGGGCAGGTGAGCCTGTGTGGGATAAGAGAACAAGCTGAGCAAGAGCCAGGGGAGCAAGCCAGTAAGCAGCGTTCCTCCATGGCCTGTGCTCCAGTTCCTGCCTCCAAGTTCCTACCCTGAGTTCCTACCTTGGGCTCCCTGATGGAACTGTGACCTGGGAGATGTAAGTTAAATAAACCCTTTCCTTCCCAAGTTGCTATTGGTCAGAGTATTTTGTCACAGAAATGGAGAAACAAACTAGGACAATCATCATCATCATCACATCATTATCATCATTATTATTGAGACAGGGTCTCACGTGTCTCCAGCTAACCTCAAACTTGCCATGTAACTGAGAATGACCTTGAACTTCTGAGCGTCCTGCCTCCACCTCCCAAATGATGAGTGTGGCAGTGTGCAGGCCTGTAATCCCAGCACTGGGGAGGTGGAGACAAGAGGATCCCTGAGACTTGCTGGCCAACCACTTTATCTGAGTCAGTGAGCTCCAGGCATATGCCACAAGCCTAGTTTATGCAGTGCTGGGGACTGAACCCAGGACTCTATACACATTATGGAAGTACTCTACCAACCGAGCTACACACCTGTCCCCGATATCTGTATTCTCTACAACTCCCTGAGCTCCCCAGCAGGTTTACTCTCCAGGAACCACTGTGGCAGCTGGCTTGAGTCTGTCCTGTGTGGGCTCATTCTCTTTCCTACTCCCTCCTGTACTTTCCCTTATCTAACAAGCACCTTATACTCAGATGCTGTCTGTGGAGGACCCACACTAAGACAGAGGAGAATGCAATAATAACAGCATCCTCTGATCATCTCTTTTTAGAAAACCTTATTTATTTATTTATTTATTTATTTATTTATTTATTTATTTATTTTTGGTCTTTTTGAGACAGGGTCTCCCTGTAGCCCCAGCTGACCTGGAACTTGCTATGTAGACCAGGCTGGCCTAGAACTCATAGAGTTCTAGGCCTGTGCTGGGATTAAAGTTGTGCACCACCACGCCTGGCTTGAAATTTATTTTGCCTGCGTGTAGATCAGTGCATTATATGCATACAATGCCAGAAGGGGCCAGAAGAGGGCATCAGATCCCCTGGAACTGGAGTTACAGATGGTTGTTAGCTGCCATGTGGGTGCTGGGAACCGAATCCAGGTCTTCTGCAAGAGCAGCCAGTGCTCTTAACTGCAGAGCCATCTCTCCAGCCCCCTCTGGTCATTTCTTACTATGTGCTAGGTATTGGGCTATCTTACATATATTCCCTAATTTATTTCTACTCCACCATTACAACCCTCATTTTACAGAGGAGGAAAGTAAGGCTCAGAGAGGGTGAGTGGTTTGTCCTGGGGCACAGAGAGCAAAAGACAGATGTAGAAGTGGATCCCAGGCCTGTCTGACCTGTAGGGCAGGGGATGGCCACGCAGGGACTCACAATTCATGTTGATCTGCTGGGACAACTCTATGAGCTCCATCTCGGTGGGCATGTAGCCCATGGTGCGCATGCAATTCCCCAGGTCCCGGCAGTTGATGTAGCCATCCTTGTCCTTATCAAATTCTCGGAAGGCCTCTCGGAGCTCTGGGAAAGTGAATAAGGACAGATATGGTTGAAGATAGGGCCAAAGAATATCTGAGGTAAAGGCCACCCAGGCCAGCCAGCTCAGAGAAGTAAAGCCCAGAGTCCTTGGGGCCTCATGGTTTCTTTCCTAGGGCTCTTTTAAAGTCTCCAGGAGTTCGGGGCTGGAGAGATGGTTCAGTGGTTAAGAACACTGACTGTTCTTGCAGAAGACCCAGGTTCGAATCCCAGCACCCACATGGCAGCTAATAAGGAGATCAAGGGGGAATCTGCCTCTCTTCCCACTAACTTCCCGCCCACACCTTCCTGGAGAGTCAAGCAGCTTTTTCCCATAAGAGCCAAAACTTTACCTTCAATCTCCTCTGGTCGTAGTGATCTGTCCTGAAACAGAAGAACATGTTGCATTAGCAGCAGGGAGGGACCTGAAAGTTACAAGATACCCATCAAATGGGGGCCATCCAGCAGGCAGCAAGACACTAGACAGAAGGTGATGGGAACTGAGCAGAGGTTTGTCTAGTGTGTCCTTAAGGGGGAAAGATGCAACACCCAAGTCTCATAGTCACAGAAACTCATAGGGTATTGACAGTAGGTGCCCCAAACCCAACAGTGCCTGCCCAAACTGGGACAGAACCTCAGTACCCTTTTCCAGACACAAGTTGGGAACAGAGCTAGAGCTGGTCCAGAAGCAAAAACCTGTAAATAAAATGGGGCCAGGGGAAGCCACGACCACAGAGGAAAAGGCCACCACCCAATGACACAAGAAGGAGCCAGGCAGCAGAAGCCTGCAAAGCAATGGGAGAAGAGGGAGGAGAGAAGGAAGGGACCATACAGGCAGCTCCAGAGGGAGGCAGGGGGAGGCAGAATTGGGGCTGTGCTCTGCTTTCTGGGCGGCCACCCCACCTTCTCCAATGTGACTCCATGCCCATACTCTGCCCTGTCACAGGACATATCATAAGACCCTGGGGGTTGCCAGTGGTTCTGGCTGCTGCCAGGGTCCAAATCACACACCTCCAGCCTTCCACAGGACCCATATCTCCTTAGGGAGCCCAGGAAACCCTGAGTCTAGGAGTCAGAACAGATGGCAGAGAAGTTTCCAAAGAGCAAGGGCAGAAGAAGCACACAGCAGGCTTCTGGTGGTGGCTGCCATCACCCCAGGCTTGCCCAGGAAGGAGACAGACTGACACAGAATGGATACAGGTGCCCATGTTCCGCTCTCTACCTTTGGACAGGGAGAGCATGAGGAAGTCCTGGATGCCTCTAAGGAGGCTCACAGCAGGTTCAGGAACCCATATTGTGAACACAGACATGAAGGCATGCTACAGTGAGTGTAAGGCATCTCAGCTGTGCACAGACTGTTTCAGTCAAAGGGGCCAGGGTGGGTGGAGACCATGGCACCTGGATACAGGCACCTAATCCCAGGATTTTGCAGCAAGGAAAGGGTCTTCTGATGTTGACAGCATGTGTGAGCTTGGACCGAGCAGGGGAGAGACTCCTGGGTAGCATTTCTAGCTGAGGGCAATGAGTCACCTGAAGGGACGTTGTCTCTGTGACATTGCTGCAGGGGACTTTCACTTAAAAGTCTGGACAGAGCTGGGCGTGCCTTTAGTCCCAGCACTTGGGAGGCAGAGGCAGGTGGATCTCTGTGAGTTCAAGGCCAGTCTGGTCTACATAGTGAGTTCCAGGACAGCTGGGGCTACAGGGAGACCCTGTCTCAAAAAGACCAAAACAAAAAAAAATAAAAAAATATTCTGGACAGAGTGCATGTACCACAGGGTCACTCCTGCTCTGAGACAGAACAATATGTTCCCAGACTTTCTTGGAGGACCAAAAAGATGCATTTCAATATACTGTATCACTGATAAATGAAAGTAAGTGACAAGAGTTGTCCCTAGGCATCAGTGGGAGGTTAATTCCAGAATCCCTAGGCATACCAAAATCCAAAGATGCTCAAGTCCTTTACATAAGATGGCATACTATTTGCATATAATTTACATACCATTTCCAATATACTTTAAATCATCTCTAGATGACATTATATTTAATACAATGCAAATATAAATAGTTGCTCTGTTTTATTTAGGGAATGAGGACAAGTCTATGTGCTTGATACAGATACAAGGTTTTATTTTATTTACCATTTTTAAAGATTTACTTTTATTTTATGTGTATATGTGTTTTGCCTACATGCATGTAAGTGCACCATGTGCTTGCCTGTTGCCCTCAGAGGCCAAAAGAAGTTGACGGCTACTGTCGCTCCAGTCTCTGGAACTGGAGTTATAGACAGTTGTGAACTGCCACGTAGGTGCTGGGAACCCTCTGCATGAACAGCAAGTGCTCTTAACCACTGAGCCATCTCTCTAGCTTCAGATGCAAAGTTTAAATTCTTTTACATTTATTTATGTGTGTGCATACTATGATGAGTGTGTGGAGGTGAGAGGGCAACTTGCAGGAGTCAATTCTTGCTTTCCAGTATGTGAGTTTGGGGAACTTGAACTTGGATTATCAGGCTTGGCAGCCTTTCCTGACAGAGCCATCTCACCAGCCTCTTGTACAAATTTAAAAATATTCTCAATCCACAGTTGGTTGAATCCACAGGTGTTGGGACTCAGGAGTAGAGAGCTGGTTGTATGCGTTTGCACATGAGTGTGCAAAGAATACTTATTAGGACCAGCCACTTAATTAAAACAAATCCTTTCCCACCCATCAGGCTCTGAACAGCTTGCCACTCTTTCAGAGTTCTGCAGGGCCGGGGAAGGGGTGCACACTGACCCTCACTGCAGCCCTTTCTACTGTTTTGTAGTCCCAGAGTCCAGGGAGCAGCAAAGCTAGATACCCCTTCACAGTATGTCTGCAATAGCAGCTCCAGTGGCTGATTCTGGGCTCACACACTGACCTCCATGCAGAACAGTGGAGGTAAGTGTGGTGTGCTCTGGAGTAGAGCTAGGGATAGCCACTGGTATATACACCAACTTAGAGGGTTCAGGCAGGATTGAAGACTTAGACAATTCCTCCCTCCCCAATTTGTGCAGTTGGAGAGAAGCTCTCAGGTCCTCGAGACTGACAGACCCAAGCACAAAACTCAGGGCTGTTATTTCCTAGCTGAGTGGGTCATTCCTGTACTCTACAAAGTCTCCTCATCTGGAATATGGGTTAATACCAGTGCCTACCTCATAATGCCTTTGTGTGCATTACATGAAACATGTATTTAGCATTTGAAATTCGATTAATGCCATCAACACATATTTGTATCTGTAACGTACTTATTACCCTCTTCCCTGTGACTACTCAGACACCTGTAGAAGGCTGTCCAGTCCAGTAGCCACTAATCACATGTGACTATTTATAGTTGAGCTGGAGGGCCGGGATATACCTCAGGGAAAGAATGCACACTTAGCATATGCAAGACCCTGGGCTCAGTCCTCAGTGACAACAACAAAAAATTAGAGATTTATTTGATTTATTTTATTTTATTTTTTGTCTTTTTGAGACAGGGTCTCTCTGTTGCCCTAGCTTTCCTGGAACTCACTATGTAGACCAGGCAGGATTTGAACTCACAGAGATCCACCTGCCTCTCTCTCCCAAGTGCCAGGATTAAAGGCATGTGCCACCATGCCCAGCAAAGTTTTAAAGT